AAGTAAGAAATATTTTTGATAGGGTACAAATTGTACAACATACTACCTTTATTATATTTTTTCAATAGATATTCTTCTATAAATGAGACTTAATCGTTTCCACATCTAATTACAGTAATATTTTTATACACATAGTTTTCAAAAAATACAAATATACTCTACTATCATATGAATAAATTTAAGGAATGTCTATTGTCATAACTCAAATAGGCGAACTCGTTGAAGGGTCAAAAGTGGGACACAATAAATGTGGAATATATATTTTTTTCCTGACTAATCGTAACATATTTTTTTGTTACTATGAAAACCTTGACGGATTCTTTTCTCTCGCATGGCGACAAAATAATAGTATTTAATGGGACAAAAAAATCTGGTGACATCAGGAAGAGAAAAGAAATATAGATGACTTATTATCAGATGTCTATAATGTACATGTCTCTTTCTTTTGTTATTTTCTATTCTGGCTGATGTACAAGTCAATAAACATTGAATAGTATTTTCTCTCTACTTTTCTGCAAAATATAACGAAAAATGATTCACAGCGAAGGTCATATTAACGTAACAATAATTCTTCACTTCATTTAACTATTCTTATTTCTTAATAACATGTACATATACACATCTCATTAGAAATGAATTAATGACAACAAGTAGGTAGGAAAATTTTTTAATAATATCCCATTGTGAAAAATGAAATGAAAAAAAAACAAAATAAAAAATAATGCATATTATTAACCACAGGAATAGATGAGTTTCAAACATGTGCAATGTTTTGAATATTTGATCACGTTTATTTATTCAAAATTTTAAAAAAAAATTTTTTAGTAGACATTCTATAACTCAATGAGCTTTTATTAATGATATATATATATATAGAGAAATCATATGATTCATTGAGATTTTTATGTTGTTTGTTTTTAGATCATGTTTAATTGCAAAATTATTCTACGATCATGTCAAATCCAGTTACTGACATTCGAAATTTAACCACCACTTCTACGATACTTGGTGGTGTAAATCCAACTGATATTTATCTATTTTACGCTACTGGTCTATTTGGCATATTAACAAATATTTTAACGATCGGATGGCTCGTTTTTATCCCATCATTTCGAATTAAACATAGTTGTTTTCTTTATCATCATTGTCTAATTGGTCTCATAGAATCTCTTTTATGTATACCTTATGCTACCAGTTATTATACAAATGCAAGTAAAAGATTTAAAATTCCGTGTAATTATATGGGTAGCTTACATCAAACATCCGTAACTGCACAAGTACTAAATATAGCAGCAATGCTTGCATCAGAAGCCTATCGTTTTGAAGAATTATTACACGACGAAGTAACACCATCAACTGATCACCATCATCACCATCATCATCATCAACATCATCATCATCATGAAGAAACAAAGTCAACAGTATCATGTAGTTGTCTTATGTTTGGTATCGGTGTTATATGGTGTTCATCCATCATTCTACATTTAGGTAAAATATAGACTTGTTTTTGATGCTAAATACCAGGACTGGTCTGAGTTTGAGTCCGAATTGGAAGATTTTTCGGTGAATTCGGACCTGGGCTAGAGATTTTTTTTTCGAAGAACTTGGACATGAACTTGAGTTTTTGTATTTCGAGTTCGATCTATTCAACTTTTTACATAAATGAACAGAGCAATTTGCATTTTTTCATTATTAGTATAGGATGACTAGAGAATTAGTATAGAATGACTAGAGAATTGACAGTACTGTTTTCAAGCACTAGTGAACGAAAATTTCAGCTCGGTACCCTGTTGGATATCGAATCGTTCGGTACTTTCGGTTCGGCACCAATAAAAGTACCAAAAAGTTCGATACTTACGAAATAAATTAAGGGACGGGAGCCTTCGCGATTTAAGGAGAAAGAAACTTCTTGTGAGTTCAAAAATACATTTAGATGATGAAAAAAAACTTCGGTACTTTCGGTACCGGTACCGAGCTGGTACCGATAGCTTCGGTACTTTCGGAAGCGGTTCGAATGGTTGGTACCAATACCGACAAGTACCTAATATAGTCGCCCATGTGTTACTTACTCTCTTTAAAAATTATGCCTGAAAAATGTGTTATATGGCACACGCGTACAAAGAAATATAAATAACGACGACCAAAACAGTTTGAAAAAATGATTGGACTCGGACTCGGCATCTCCCACCCCCTCCCTGGAACTCTTCCAGCACTGCTGAACATATCTAATCAAACTATTTATTTATTTAGGTATAACATTGATTGGTTCTGAATCACGAAATTACTATCATTCGCAATGGAAATATTGTAGTTTTATTATAACAGATATTAGTGGTTATGTTTTGTATTTAATGTGGATTATTATTACTGTTCTTTCTCTATTAGCAACAATTCGTTATATACGTAAATTTTTTTCAGAAGTAAATGAAAAACGAAAAAATAATGCACCATTACTCTCGTTAAGCGTTATTAAACAAGGTATTTATATCGCTAATAAAGAATTGATTATGCAACAAATATTACAACGAATTAAACTAAATATTATTCTTATTGTTTTATTTATACTATTTTGGTTACCATTGTTTATTGTAACA